GGCGTCACCACTCTCACGACCAATGTCTGTCGTTGGTCAGTGAACGATGATAAACGGGTTGCTAGGTTAGTGGGTTACATTGCTGCCACTGATCAATAAAATCCAGTGATGCTTGTCCACGACCCAGCCTCGTCTTTGCATCTTTCCCTGTGTGTGGACTCAGATCTCGAAAGCTTCTCTGTGACGGTCGAATTCCTGTGGAATTCCATCCTTTTGCTACTCTCGCTTGTTCTCAACTCCGAGATACCACCATAGTAGTTCATCGTTTTCGTCGATGTTCTCGGGATCTCCTTCACTAATGTCATGTTTTTCCAAGTGCGCTTTCACCATTCTTACATTTCCCAACAGTTGATCAAACTCCTTGAGCAAATTGATCACTTCGTCATCATCTTCAACCTCTTCAATCTGAACAGTGCTGTGCTCCTGCACTCTTCTCACTCTCTCGTTTCCAACTTGCCTGTTGGGCTGCTCGAGCGATTCCTCCTTCTCCACTACTCGCGCTCGCTTGTTCCTCGGATCTCTCATCTTTCTCCCATGTCCAGGAGTTCTGATTCCAAGTTTCATCTTCACTCCATTCTCCAAACTGCACTTGTCGAACTTTTCCTTTTCCAGACTTTCCTTTTCCTGACTTCTGCCAGCAATCTGCTGCAAAGTGTCCGGGCTTTCCACAGATGTAGCAAGTTGACTCCTTTCCTTTGTTTTTAGACTCTCCGTAGCCTTTTCCAGCTTGCCTGATGCCCTTTGAGCCATTCTTTCCGCGTCCTTTTCCTCGTCCTTTTCCTTTGCCTTTTCCACGGCCTTTTCCAAATCCTCGGCCTCGGCCATACTTTCCTTTTCCTTTTCCTTTGTCGTGGTCCTTTCCTTTTCCTTTTCCTTTGTAGTTCTCTCGATCTTTCCTTTTCCTTTTCCATAGTACACTCGGTCAATCTCCATAGGGATCGCTCCGTGATAGCTCGTACTGCAGCAACCTCGCTCTCATCTCTTGATTGTCCCAATCATCAGATTTTGGTCGTGTTTTACTCCACTCAGTCTCTCGTGCTCGTTGACCAACTTCTCGAATGTCAGGACATAATCCATTAACGATGCTCCTTTCGACATGGCTGGAAATCCAACCAGTGCTTGAGCCATCTCCATGAAGTTTCTCCATACTTCTTTTCCAAACAAAAATGTTTCAAATGTAGAAACACACTTCGAGACTTGACCTACAAGACACTCTGTCAAGGCCCTGTTTGCTCAGACATGTCCCATGCACAGAACCACTGCTCAACATGCACAGACTGCACTGACATGCGCCCTCACACTCTGCTACGACTGAAGAACACGCACCGATGTCTTTTCCAAGGAAGGGGATTTGCCAGGTCTGCTTCCATCCAAGATCTGTCCTCTGCAGGCGTGTGAGAAACGAAATCTCCCAGGCATGTGAGACACGGAGTACTTTGCCACTCTCACGGGTTCCGCCTAAGTAAGCGTCCTGTCAATGGGTGAGTCGAAGGCTCAAGTGCTAGCAAGTACCGGGTTGCAGTGGCAAGTCGCTGAGGTTCGTGCTAAAGGGCACATGTCGGCCCTGCAGCTTCCAGGCAGAAACTGGAAGTTCGTAAGTCATGCCCAGTGCGATGCCATACATCATCAGCAATCGCAAACTTGATGTCGTCGACTGTTCCTGTAGTTGCCACTCTACAAAGCACAATATCCACAATTGGAACATTGGTGACCATCACCGCCAGCCACTGGACCCTCGATTCTCGGTGTTTCAGCATCTCGTTTCATCCCAGCTGCCAAGTGCGAGCTACTATTGGTGTGGGCGGGTGGGAAGAAAAATTTTCCGGGCCCTCTCCACCAGTGTTGTGACTGAGGGGGCTGACAGCAGAGAGGCACGGTTCCTTACTGGTCCCTCCAAGCTTTTCCGCCTCGACGGCGGCAAAATTGTCCCGACCACAAAACTTGGCAGGTCTATCCCCGCCATCTCCCCCTGCGGTTGCTGCATCCCCCTCAAACGCTTCTGCGCGACATGCGGTGTCAGCAGCGCGGGCGCCAGCTCCAGCGCGGACGCGACGCCCCTTCACAATGGTGCTCCACTGCCAATATCCCTGCGCTTAGGACCCCTGCCCGCACCTTTGCCTCCTTTATCTGTCGACCCGTCCACACGGCGAGTCAGCATGAAGTGAAAGTTGACCGCGACCGTGTTAGTGGCCTCCAAGAAGACCCTGTCCAAGCAACGGTCGTCCGCTAGCGGCGCATAAGCTGCCGCTCGCGTAAGGGTCGGTTGTCTGCTGCCGAGCTCCAACCACGCAGGACCTGCTGCAGTGTCGGGCGGTTGAGGCCTGGAGGAGCCGGGGTCTGTAAGGTGGCGAAAGCCTTCTGCAACCAAATCCTTGAAACTCAAAATGCCAACCAAGTCATAAGCCAGACCCCGCCTCTGCAAAGCCTTGTAAGTCGCCATGTCAGATCCCAATTGGGCCTCAACCTTGGAGGCTTTGTCCTGGACCGCGAAGCGTCCAGCACGAGTTCCTTGGCTGGCTTTCCTTGCGCCAATTCCTGGCGCCGCGTGGGGATTTTGCTTGGGTGCAGGTACTTGAGGGACCCTTGTTCCACCTGTGTGGACACAGCATCGTAGACTGAAAAGGCAGGCTCCAAGTCATGCTCAATGGAGAGTCCCCCCAGCCTCTGAGCTTGCAGTTCCAGGCGCTGGGCCCTCTCTGCTCCTGGCAACTTACGCAGCACTGAGTCGGGCTGCTGTTCCACGGTGGCCTTCAGGTTTATGGTCTGGCACTCAAACAAGAGACGCTTGACAACCGTCATCTGCGCAAGAGTAGGGTTGTTCTGCCCCAAACTAGTACACAGAGTTGAGACTTCCCTGTCTGTCAGCGGCTGACCCGGCTGGGTGGCGGCATCAGCCGCCATGGAGACTGTTCTGACCCTTCCAGCTATGAATTTGTCCAAAAGGTCTGTGCGGGGCCAAACTTCACGGGGACAGAGCTGCTATTGAACAAGCGCCACTGCACAAGACTAAACGAGGTGGCATCCAAGGCCCCCTTGTCCTTTTCCTCCTGAAAGCACCTGCTGCACTGTAGCCATCTCGATGAAGGCTTCTCCATCTCTACGAAATTAACACTAATCCGCTTTCCGCATTTCAGCGTCGTTTGGCCTACTGTGTACAAATGTAGCACGGTAGACTTCCTGTTCTGAATTGTGCCCCAACCTCAAGGCCAACGCCGGCTCCGCCTCATCCGATGAAGCGCAAAGCGGACCGATTCCCAGGAAATCGTCCTGGCGGCCGTCCACTTGGGATGGTCGGGGCTCCTGCGTGCTTTCCGGGTTTACAGCTAGCTCATCCAGGCTAATTGGCAACCAAGAGCCGAGGTCAGTAGAGGCACCTGCCTCAGACCTCTGAGCCCGAACTACGGGAAAATGAGCCCTCCCTGACCTGCTTCAGCATCTTTTCGAGCTGTCGGAGGGGGCCGCTCAGCGCGTCCCTTGAATAAGCTGTGGTACTCAAGGTTTGAGTCGAGTGATGTGACAATGCCGTATTTGCTTAGCCAGCCCAACGCAGTGCCACTGACCTCTGCAGCCAGGCACCGCAGCGGGCCTACTGGGGTCTTCGACAGCAATACCTTCTGCCATTCTCTGGCCCAGACCACCTTCGGGTGGACTGCACGAACTGGGGGGGACATTCGGCGGTCCTGCAGAAATCAAGACCTGCGCAACACGTTGCTGATTAGGTTGTTGGCCTTCCGACTCGCTGTCAGAAGGCACGTCCGGTGCCCGCAGGTGACCAGCCATCTCGGGCTTGAACCAAAACTAAGGGGTCCTACCCTAAAGAACTGCGGCTCACTTTTCCTTGTGGCCGCTCGGCTGTGTCTTGGTCTCTGAGACTTGGGTGTCACCTTTGAGCCTTGACATTCACAGATGTCATGAGGCTGTTCCTGAGCATTAACATGCACTGCAAACTGTGTGTTCCTACATGGCTGGAATGTTTAACGCCCCGCCTTCGAAGTTAGTGAAAGTCGTCAGACTAAGCTGGCTTCGACTCTCCTTTCCTGAAAAACACACAAGTGCTCGAAACTCTTTCCTAATCGCAGACTCTCTCAAGTCCACTGGCGAATCTCTCCAAGTTCGCTCACAACATTTCCTTCAAACGAAGTGTCTCATGATCTTTTTCACGATGGGTGGAGGACGGAGCAGGATTACCTCAGAGTCATCCAGATCTGCATTCAAAAAAGCTGTCACGATGTCCATAAACGCGCATCCCCATGAAGAATTCTGTGCCACCAAACTGACAATCGCCCGTATCGCTTCCGGTGGAATGTTGCTGGACTTGAATCTTGTGTCCCCACGTCGAACATCATAGTCAAAGTTTCCACAAGCAACCATGCGCACTTTCGCCTGAAAGGTTTCGGGATCATCAAACTTCACAGGTGGCATCTTGCCATCTGGACCAGGGATTCCATCCGGTTTTGCCTTTATCACCAGCTTCGAAGGCAATGTCTTTGGCAACGGATCATGTGGGCTGAGCCCCAAAGTCTTCCTCAAGTCTTTGGCCTTTACCTTCTGCAAAGCTTCCTTAGTATCAAACATGGTTGTCAGCTCCTTCTCAAGCCCCTTTCTCCACTTTTCTTGTAGATGTTGAGGCCCTTCTGTGAAAACACGCCCATCAAGATGCACATCGTCTTCGGCTTCAGCTTCATCAGCTCCTGCAGTAGCAAGTGCTCGGGCCTCGGCCGCAGGTGGTTGTCTGAAACACACCCGCATCGTTGAGATGTTTCACGACTCGCTCTGCCAAAAATTCCTTGGCCCTATCTGAGTGGATCCTGACCACCTCACGGAATCCTGCAAGTGCAGATATCTCAGTCATGATGGAGTTAATTCCTTCCAGCACATCACTCCAAAATCGTCGTTGAAGAGCGCGTACGAAGGGCAGAGTCGTCGCATCTTTAGTTCGCAGTACAGCGATCAAGATCTACTTCGAGCTGTCGTACCCATCCCGGTATGGACCTGCCAGATCAAATGGAGGAGAGTACGCCAGATGATAGGTCTCCCGGCTTGATCTTTCGATGCGGCCTTTTGACTCCACGGGTTCTGTAGTCGTCCATTTCATGGTGTGCCACATTCTTCGTCGGCTTCCTGCCCTCTTCAGCTGCAACGGTGCCTCTTTCAAGATCATCCTTTGCCTTCTCGTGGTCATCCAGTGAAGGACACCCATCCGGATCTGGCAATGAGAGTTCATATTCGAGCTCCAGAGGATCAAGAGAAGTGCCTGCGTTTCCAGCACACGCAGAAGAATAGGCCTCAGGCACGGGGACCTCGAGATCGGAAGTTGTGCGCACATCCGGCAGCTGCCAGTTTGAAAAGCAAGGGCCATGGGCGCTTTCTACCGCTCTCTCTCTTTCGCAACCCTGAAATTCATCCCCACAACAAACCAAATCCTGTCCGACATCATTCCCATACGGGCTCCCTGAACACCCTGAAGTCCGAGGGACCCTGTTGCAGATGTTGTTGCTGTGTGCTTCAGGCTGCTTGTGCTGTTCATCTTCCGCCCTGCTGATGCTCCTTCCCGTCGAGTCACGGAAACATGTAAAGCCAACATCATCAAGTTGTAACTGCTGGACTCTGCTCAAGGATGCTGCTCCGCGAGTTGTAAACAAGGTCAGGGCCACTCTTGTTCCCTGCCAAGGAGCGGTACCATGCCACTTCTTTGGGTTGAAGAGAACTGGATTCCGCTGAGCCGGCATCAGTAGTCCACGTAAAGCCTTCTTATCAGATACCCGTCTGACATGTTCGCCTTCAGGATGCTCGATCCAAAGGTCACCACCTTTGCACATGCCCTTGTGACTCAGGACCACCAATGCATTCTGACTGCCTTCTGCATTGCCTAAATCACGGTGTGGTGCAAAAGCGATGTCCCAACTGATTGAGAAAGACGACCGTCGCATGTCAGGAAGTTGCTGATGCATAAACTTGTTGATGACCTTTACCAGCCATGGTCTGCCCTTTGTGCGATCTGTGATTCCCACATTCGGACCCACTGCAAAAGCTCCAGAAACCCAACATTTCACTTTGTCGTCCTCTCCCTCAATGCATGCTCTACGTTTTTTCTGTGGTTCGATGTCTGCCTTCATGATGACCTCAAGCGCATCATCGTAGGAAATTGTGGACTGCTCAAACACCTTCCGCGCAAGATTCTCACCATGCTGCACTGATTCACGATCCTTCGCCCCTTTTGCCTGCGCCTCGCACTCCTCCAGGTCATTCATGGTGATGGCCTGCAAGGTCTGAGGTTCCTTGATCTCAGCACGAGCACACAGCACGCGTTTCTGTTGTCTGTAAGCCTGTGAAAGCTGTCGGCGCAATGTTGCAAAATCATGCCACTCAAGGTAGGGAAGGCCATTTTCCACTTTCATGTAGATAACTTCTGCCTCATCTCCCTCTCCCCGAATCAGCTGCGCTCCCGTCATGTTGTCCCACACAAACCTGTAGCCAAGCTCCACAATCTTGCCGATGGGTGCTATCCACGAATCACTGCCCGGAACGGCAAGCTCGCCATCTCTAGACCTGTAGGATGGAATTGCACTTCCGTCTGCCAACGTGAGATCCACCTGCATAGATCGCGGCGGCGGTTGGTCTTGGGCCGGGCGAATAACTTCGTTAGCACCTGAGTCTGCCAACACCAGATCATGCTCTGACCCAGTCGTGCAACCCTTAGCAGCACAAGCATGACTCATGTCGCTCTGTGTCGCACTGCGTCTTCTCCTCTGAGGTAAAGTTCCATGTACTGGTGGATGTCGTACATGCACATGAAACATCTCAGTTGCCTGGGCTCGTCCCTGTGCTGGAGGTTGGTAGTTCACACATGGAGGCGGCGGCGGTACTGTGGGTGCCTCTGCAGCTGGAGCTCTTGGATCTGTCGATGATGCAGCCTGGTCACACGGAAGTCTTATTGACTGACTGGATGTTGATGCATGTTCCCAAGGACGAACAAACGGCATATGTTCATAGGGCACTCGTATCAGTGCCACCAGTCTCTCTCTGCCAGTGTCCTCGTCCATGAGACGTGTTACTACGCAAGGTCGTGCCACAGCATCGATGCACATCACAAGTGTCCAATCGTATTGGAGCATCACAACGCTGTCCCCGATCGGGATAGCACCAGCCTCATCTGCATCCTCGGTGTCGTGATGCAGTATGATCCATGTACCCCAGGTGACTGCATATGGGTTCTCCTCCTCGCGGAAAAGCCTCTCTGCCCTGGTCTGGATGTGATTTGGCCGTGTCCACGCAACAAAATCCTGCAAAGTTACGTCAAGTACCCACAAAGGATCGTCTCCCCTGCGCTCATCGTCCCCTTCTTCTGCAGAGACATCTGAATCTTCATCAGGGAAAACTCCTTGTTCAGCATCTGACCACTCGGGAGTACTTGCCTCTGCATGCGTGGGAATCTCAAACTCCTCACCAGAAAATGCCTGACTGCTGCTCTCCTCCTCGCTCTGCATGCTGCGTGCCATTCTAGCGACACTGGAAGAAACACGGATAGCAGACGCTGTAGGCTTCACTCCGACAAGTTCGGACTCTCCCTCTGCCGCTGATGCTGAGGATTTGGCCTTTGCCTTTGGTTTTTGCTTCGCCTTCGGATTTGCTGCCTTGTTCGCTTCACCATTGTGCTGGTATCTACACTTGTCGCCGAACTTGCATTTCCCATTCTTGGCCCATGCAAGACACTCCTGTGTACCAGACTCCTTAGCTGGCGTCGAAACTGGAGCAGCCTTAGGATTCGGTGTCGTTCTTGGCGCCTGTCCTTGTAGACCATCATGGCTGTAGTGACATCTGTCGCCAAATTTGCACTTCCCGTATTTCTTCATGAACTCACATGGCTTCTTCGTTTCCTTGCCCCCTCTCTTGCCTTTGTCCTTTCCTTTGCCATCGCCTTTGCCCTTCGCAGCTTGAGGATCAGGCTCATGCTGCCTGTTCGCCTTGATGTGCTCATCAGCGCTGAGCAGCTGCAACTGCTGCTCTATCAGAGTGACCATCTTTTCAACTCCAGCTGCTGTGGGGCGGATGATGTCGGGATCTGTCCGAAGCAAGCCCAAGAGGGTGCGAAAACGATCATGACGCCGCTCCAAAGTCTGTGCCATCGTACTTAGAGCTTGTAGTTCTTCAAACGGTGCCAACTTCGGAAGTGCCAGAGCTGTGGCCCTGGTTCTGGCGAGACGCCAGCGCCTAAGAACACTGAGTCCATCCTTTGCCGTCGTAACAGGCCGAAGTGTACGAACGAACGTGTTCAAGGACTGCATCTCTGCAGCCCCGCCGGGCTGCAGGACTTCGAAGACTCCCTCTAGGAGATCCAAAGCTCTCATGCCCTTGGACTCGTCCTGTTGTTCCAGCACGCTTGTTTTCCATTCCTGAGGAAGGCAACGGATCAACAAAAGGATAAGCCTGCTTTCGCACTCAGAATCTCGTGGATCCACATCCGGCGGCGGTCCCAAAGTGACCAAGCCAGCCATCCTCTCGCCATGACGTTGCTCCGCCAACTGAACCTGCGCTGCCACGAAAGTACCAAAAGCGGGTGCTATGGTGTAGCTGTTTCAACCACGTGCGAAATCTCATTCCGACTTCCCACGGTTCCCCTGAACCAACCTGTAAACTTGGAACGTCAGCCAGGAGTTTCCATCGAGCATGATGAATTGCATTGCCCTGTTCCTGACTGGTGTCCCTGCCCTCAGCTGGAGCAGGATTCTGTCCAGATGGCCCTCCAATGGGCTCATCCAGAGGCTTCCATGCCTGTCTCGAAGAGGGCACTGAGGAAGATGTCAGGCCTGGAGGTCGTTCGGGCTCCTCCTGACCTTGTAGTCCCGCCTGATTTCCCCACCATGAACCTTCATAGGCATCAAGATACTGTTCATCTGCTTGTTCCTCACCATCAGAGTTCATGGCAAACTGCTCACAAAGTGCCTGAAGGTGATCAAGACTCTTCTCAACCTTCCGCTGAGTGTTGGACAGGTCCTGAATCGATTCCCTCGCCTCTGCCAAGCCATTGTCTAACTCCAGGTGCTTAGCCTCGACGACACTTCTGAGGTGCTGCACCGCAGAAAAGGTCTCGTCCACCTGTTCCTGTACCATGTGAGCATCAGGGACTTCCGTCCTACTCACAGCCCTGTCCTCAAGATTTCGAACACGGGATTTTGTGCTATGATGATCATCATCGACCTGCTTCATTCGCATGTCGAACTCATTCTGAAGTTTCAAGATGTGTGCTTCCACCTGAGCCTGCCATTGTTCTGGTCCCAATCGAGGGGTCTGAGCCATTGTCCGAACCTCTTCCAACTGGGCGCGCGTGGCTTCAAGCTCATCATGAATTCCTCGGTTGTCCTGCACAAGACGAGTGATGACTTCACTGTGTGCATCAAGGCCCTGCTGCAGACGCCCTAAATTTTCTACCACAAGGTTGTGGCCGTCGGCCAACGAGGTAGTTGTTGTTCCAAGGATGTTTGTGCGGTGTTGCATGCGGTCATGTAGTTCTACAACGGCCGCCCGTAAATCTCCAAGGATCTCATTGTCAATCGTATTCTGCTGTGCAAATTGTTCCAACACGTGTACCGGGACCTCAATCCGAGTTGCTTGCGTGAAGGTTGCACCTGCAAACGGAGTAGTTGTACCTGAAGCAGAAGCTGAGCTGCAAAAGGATGTACTGCTGGAGGCGGTGTCCATGCTGCAGTGGTGCCCCTTGGGCTCATAACCTGTCGGTTATGACCCGGGAAGGGTGTGAGTGCTGCTGGTGTCGTAGGATGTGCTGGTATGTGGAGTGGCTCTGGACTTCCTGTGGTGTCGGTCACAGGACTGAAATGATCGGGATATGTGATGGCTCTTATGAGATGGGAGTCCCTCCTCATCTATGTTCATGGCCCCCGAGGCCTTTCAAGTCCTGACGAGACCTCTTGCCTACCCTGAACCTAATAGGGAACAGAGGAAACCACACAACCAATCCCACACAGGGTCCTACACTGGGGCCGATGCCCTAAAGCCCTGAACAGTAGGGTGTTGGGCTACAACAGATGACAAGCGAGTAGGATGGGATTAAGGTTAACCCAACCCTTCGTGTCTTGTCCCACCTGGAGAACGAGATGAAGTTTATATGATGGAATCGAGATAATGAGATGTTAAATGGAAATGCCAATCCTTCCGTGATGCTACTGCTGATGCTGCAGCTGCGGTGGCTGCTGCAGCTCTTCCAACGAATCCCAAAATCTTCTGAATCTCAAGATAGCCAGCTTCTGACAAAATGCAACAACGAAAGGTCTCCTTGATGCAGTAAATGCCAATATGCCGAATGCGCAAAGCTGCCTGCTGTTGCTGCTGCTGCGAATGCCAAGCTGCTGCTCAGCTGTATGTCAAGTCCCTCGAAACTCCAAGGGGAACCCGAGACTTAAGAGGGACCCCTCGCGCTCACACTCTTTTTGTTCTTGAGCCATTCATGCATCCAACGCATGTCTTCGCATGACTGAACATGGAGTATCTGGCATGTTTCAAACAGACACTTACCCTCAACGTTGCACAACATAGACTTCCAGAAGGGGGGAGTTGAGAAAACACAGGTAATCACGCCCTCCTGTACAGTGTCTGGACAGCCAGGTGGTTAGGTAGTTCTCTTGAGCCGGCTACTGCAATAGAAGTTGCAAGAACTACCGACCTGAATCTTGTTTGGCTCAAGACAAAACAAGCGTCTTGCATACTGTTTTGTCTGCTTACTGTTTGTGCGGTACTTCCCCTCAAACGACTATCATGAAGTGCATTGTGGAAGGCGTGCAAAAAGCACACGGGTTCCAGGCGTTCTTGCGTTTTGGAAAGCTTTTGACAAGCAGGACTGATTCCTGCTTTCATGTTTACCGACAGACCGCGAGAGCTCCCTGATTTCACGGTTCTGAGAGGAAGCGCGGGTGAAAATCGCGAAAGGCGCGCGAAAGGTCCGCGAAAATAACGCGATTGGGCGACAGGTCCTGGAAAGGTAGTGTTGCGGCGCCTGCCCACCGCAGCCGACGCCGCTGCCAACCTGCCTGAAACCGTGAGCCACTTCCTGCACACAGCTTGGGTGCTGCCTCCTGGCACTGCTGCTTGCTGGTCGCCTTCTTGGCCGAGTCAGTCCAACAGCGCTTTTGTGAGGCCGCGCGCAGCCTTTTCACGGGTCTTTCCGCAGCTGGGGCCGGGTTTGGGTTCTGGGTTTTGGGTCCGGGGACGTTTGTTAGGGCTCGTCTCTGTTGTCCCTCTGCAGGCCTATGGGGTCTGGCCCGTGGTTGTGGGGGCTTGGGACGGGTGTATTAAAGCTAAGATGTGAAGCTCCCACAAAAGCTGGTAGCAATTCGAACTCCATTGCCCTTACATCCTGATGAGAAGAGGTCTGGCGCCCTGAGTTCTGGACCCGTTTGTTTTACAAGTAAAGACCAAGGTCAAACTTCGTTTTGGAAGACTTGTGCGACGCACGCTGATTTTCCTGGTTATCACTCAAAGTAAACGCACGAGCCATACTGAGCTTAGGAATTGCGATTCTGGCTGGGTGGGGTGCATAAAAGTTGGCATGCAGGCCCAGGGCGTTTTGGAGGACCTGAAAATGCACGCTGAGGGGTGCTGGTTTGGATGGCTTGCTGGTCCGGGGCGCTCAAAAGCACTTGCGGGTGCCGAGGCGCTGGCATGGATGGCTGATCATGGGCCAACGTGCATTTTGGGGGGCCTGACGCACACAGTTTCCCTGCCTCTTCGGGGCGCAAATCTAGCTTGGGCGAGGGGGCACAATTCGTTTCAGACTTAACTCAGAATGGGGGCTGAAGACTTCAGAGGGGTCACTACTCTGTAACAGTTGGCTCCAGCGGATTCTCGCCAACAATGATACTATCTTCCTTGCATCTTCCTTATTCTGCTCTCTCAGATTATCATGTTGCTCTCACTTCACTTCACGAGGATCTGGGACCTTTCCAGCGGCAGGTGGGGACATGTGAAAGTGATGGGAGGGGGCGCGGCGCAGCACGTCTCGGTTCGGGGAGTATCTCTGAGGTGCGTCCAGCTCCTGCCGGGCGGCGTCAGCGCGGCCCTCATCGCATATTCAGTCATCGCGCTCTCATCGGCATCCCCACATCCTCGATCCGTCTGATCTCCTTGATCCCAGTGACCTCCAACAATTTTTGTGGCAACAGGCCCTGTCTTCTGGGCAACCTTCGCGCCTGAAGAGGAGGAAGTGGCGACGGCCAGCTGCTGCCTCAAAGCGATTTTGTTACTCTCTCTCTCTTCTCTCTCTTTCTCTTCTCTTTCTCTTCTCTCTCTCTTCTCTCTCTCTTCTCTCTCTCTTCTCTCTCTCTCTCTCACACAATAAGTCTCACAGCAAGTTGGGAAAAGGGGCGAGGCAGCTTTGGGATCTATGGGCAGCATGTTTCCATTGTCTTTTTGCATGGCCCTACTTTGTCTCGCGTGGCTTGGCTGGGCTTTGGCTCGGCTTCGCCTTGGCTCGGTTGGCTTAATTTCTTGTTAAAACACAAGGAAATAAGAAACGACAGCAACAAAGAAATACATGTATAAGTAAAGAACGACAGAAAGACATATGGAAATAACCATAGGAATCCGGAGCCAACCCATCGTGCCAGGCTTGTGTTGGGAAAAGGGGCCGGGACCCCCTCCCGCTTTTTTGGCCGTGCAAGCTTGCATCAACGCATATGATTCTCTTTTTGGGGGTGCTGTGCCCCCCACCCACCCAACCCCCTCGATGTTTGAAGCAAGCATATGAATACCTTCCAAACTGCTTCAGGGCATATGTGACTCCCTTCCACCCATCGTGCGGGCATCGTCTTTGCAGTTTGGGGTGGGGGGGTGTTCGGCCATGCAAGCCAGCATCCAAGCATACGACTCCCTTCCAAGCCCATCGTGCGAGCATTGTGTTTGCACATGGCGCCCCCACCCCACCCCCCCCCCCCGCCCGAATGTTTCAAGTAAAGGCCAGGCCCGGTTCCACCCGTGGTACCTTCGTTTTCTGCGGTTGGGGGATTGGGGTCAGGATTTAGGGTGTGTTGTTTGGGGTTTATTGGTTTTCTAAGCTGTCATACAGTGCGTTGGTTTAGGATTTAGGGTTTATAGGGTTTTATGTTCGGTGTAGGAGTTAGGGCTTACGGCTAAAAGTTGATGCGTGGGGGGTTCCACTGCTGGCGCCCTTCCTGGCCGCTTCCGTCGTTTAGATTAGACCTCGTCTGGGACCGGGGGCAGGGTCGAGAAAACATCACGTTATGCGTCGAGGAAACATCACGTTAAGACTCCAGTGCGCATCCATCCCCAAGTCGAGCCCCTCCCTAGGCTGCCCGCCATGCCTTATAATGAAGTGGCGGGGCTTCCCGCAATGCATTTTCCAGTCGCTGGACAATGCATGGGGCCTCCTCCGGGCGCCACGAGACACCAGAGGTAAGGCAGTGGTGCTTCGGAGGCTTCCCATGCATTTTCCAGTCCCCGCAAAATGCACAAGGCCCTGCCTCAACTGTATACGGGTAGGAAAGCTTCAAAAGCAACGTTTCAACAATTGAAATTTCAATTGACTGTATTCATAGATGACAACCTTAGTCTAAAGATTAACACGAGAAGCAGAAATCTTAATAGGAATGTTATATTTATGAACTCGGTGCATTTAATGTGATTAATGTTTGGTTTTGAACCAATAAAAAACCAAGTGTCATTGAAAAGTCTGTCGGAAGCTAGGCTTGAACGGAAAAAACACATACGGGAGATAAGGAATAGGTCAGGGGCGATCCTAGACCCTTAACCCCAAGCCCAAAACCCCTAAACCCTAAGCCCTGAAAGTGTCTGAGCCCTCAAGCCTGAAGAACCAAAAACTGCCATGCAAACATAACAACCCACAAGAAACCCAGAACCAATCCCAAAACCCTAAGCCCCTAAACCCTAAACCCTGAAAGTGTCTCTTTTTTTTGAAAAACAAGCAAACCCTAAGGAGAACAAAAGAACGTCCTCAACCCTAAACCCCCAAAAACCCTAAACCCTAAACGGCCCCTAAACCCGAAACCCTAAACACCTTAACTGTTGAAGTAATGGCTTTGCCATGTCAGCGGAGTCGGCGCCTGTTTCATTTATGGCTGGGCACAGGGCGGCTTCCAGTACGTATGGGCAACAAGCAGCAAACAACCAACAACCGAAACAGCACTCTAGCGCTTCTTTACACTATACAAGCTAGAGTGCACACATGGCTCAAGAGGCTTTCCTACGTAGCCTTCCCCTAAGCCAGAGCACGACATAACATAATACATTTGGTACCTGCAGACTCTCTGGTTGCTGTACAACTGGGCCCCAGCTAGGTTGCACTGCAGATTGCAACTGCCTACGACTGACATGCTGGAGTATTTTCAACACTCCTCCTTGGCTCGCTCGTCAGGGCGGCGCCACACTACATATTTATACAGCATGTCCTCTTCGCCTGACCTTGAGCCTCTGGCACCTGACCTCAGACCTCTGGCACCTAAACCCAAAACCCGATTTTTTGATGAGAGCGGCAAAGAGGATACAAAATGAGAGGGGAAAATAATAGAGAGAAAAGAGCATAAAATAAGAAGGAAAAAGAGATGAAAGAAGCATGAAAAGTTATAAATTAAATTGCAAAAAATGTAATTGCAAGAAATTTCTAAACGAGAACTTTTCCTTAGGGCATGCCCATTTCATTTGCTTACGGCACC